CAGACCAACAGCTGGGAGGCCAGCGTGGGACTGATCCAGACCCTCTGAGTGTGAGAGTCGGTGAGGAGGCCTGGGCAACCTGTGGGGCCCTGGGCAGTGGATCAGTATTTTTCCCTGGCATACAAATGGGCTTCATGTATCCATAACACAAAGAGGGATGATCTCTAAGCATGGACTCTTGGGGGGAGTGCCTGGACCCTGCCCTGAGCGAAATGACAGACTTTGGAGATCCCCTATGTGGAAGGAAGTGGGGATGGGGTGGGAGACTGGGGAGGATTGGGGGGTGGGGGAGGAGGGGAAGGAGAGGGAGCTGGGATTGACATGTGAAGCAAGCTCTTTTCAAAAAATGTAATAAAAAATAATTAAGGAAATAAATAAATATATATATAATATAAAAAGAAAAAGAAAGTCAGATATGACCGGGCATTGGTAGCACACGCCTTTAAGTCCCAGCACTCAGGAGGCAGAGGCAGGTAGATCTTCTGTGAGTTCCAGACCAGTCTCGTCTACAGCTCGAGTTCCATGACAGGCTCCAAAGCCACAGAGAAACCCTGTCTCAAAAAACAAAACAAAACAACAAAACAAAGTCAGATATGGAGCGGGGCAATGGTAGTGCTTGCCTTTAATTCCAGCACTTGGGAGGCAGAGGCAGGCAGATCTCTGAGTTCGAGACCAGCCTGGTCTACAGAGTGAGTTCCAGGATGGGCTCCAAAGCTACATAGAGAAAGCCTGTCTCAAAACAACAACAACAACAACAACAACAACAACAAAGTCAGATTTTTAAAAACAGATAGTAGGGCTGAATTGGTGGCTCACTGGTTAAGAGTACTTGTTGCTCTTCAAGAGGACTAGGTTCAGTTCTCAGAATCCACTGAGCAACTCACAACCACCTGTAACTCCAGTTCCAGGGGATCTGACTCTCCATGGTCACCTGCACACCCATACCATACATACACACAGACACAGACATACATATGAGAAAAAATAAATCTTTAAGAAGAACAGATACTTTATGATTCCATTTATATTAAACATAGGACATAAAGTAGACCTATAGAGGTCACTAGGAGGATCAAAGAATGGAGAATTATTGCTTAATTTTAACAAAAGTTCTACTTGGGATGATGAAGACACTTTAGAAGTAGCCGTGATGTATGCACACTATTGTGATGTACGGATTATCAGTGACATAGACTCTTAACATGGTTAAAATGGAAATTTCTGTCTTTTATTTTTATTGGCATATACTAGTTATACATAATAAAATTCATTATATTTTATTTTTAAAGATTTATTTTTGTTTTATGTGTTGTATGTGTGTCTTAATATACATGCCTATATGTCTGTGCACCGTGTACATGCAAGTGCCTTCAGAGGCCAGAAAAGAGCATTGGATCACCTGGAACTAAAATTATAGGTAGTTGTGAGCTGCCTGATGTGGGTGCTTGGAACTGAACCTGGTACTTCTGCAGTAGCATCAGGTGTTCCTAACTGTTGAGCCATCTCGACAACCCTCTTATGACATTTTTTTTTTTTTTGGTTTTCGAGACAGGGTTTCTCTGTATTATTTTGGAGGCTGTCCTGGAACTCACTCTGTAGACCAGGCTGGCCTCGAACTCACAGAAATCCGCCTGCCTCTGCCTCCTGAGTGCTGGGACTAAAGGCGTGTACCACCAATGCCCGGCTGACATTTTCATACACATGTATCATATGAGCACATATTGATCATATCCACCCCCTCCCCCACTCACCTTTCATATCCTCCTCCCCTCCCCCTCTCACGGAACCCTGCTTTTTCCAACTAGTCCCCACTCTGCTTTGATATCATGGTGTGTGCATGTTTCCTAGTGAGTCTCATCAGGCTTGCTTATAGAAGAATAGACAGGGGATTATTTACTGGAGCATTGGTACCTTATGAGTGGCTACACCACTGAAGAAAATGTCTCTTCCTTCTCCATCAACCATGAACAGCCTCTCGATTCTCAGAAAGGAGAGGTGCTTTATGAGCCTCAATCCACTGCATGACAGGATGTTGACAGCTGCAACCTTGTACAGGTAGCACAACTGCCGTGAGTTCTACAGTGTATTGGCCATGGCATGCCCAGAAGACAGCATTCCACAACACTCCACCCTCTTCCCCTACTCTTACATTCTTTCCTCTCCGTTTCATGATGGCCTCCTGAATCTTGGAGAGGATGATGTAGCCTCCTGAATCTTGGAGAGGATGATGTAGATGTCCTATTTATGGCTGAATATTCAGTAGTCACTTGTCCTCAGCACTTTAACCAGTTATGAGTCTGCGTTAACTGCTGTTTACTGAAAACTACAGGTTCTCTAAGATGACAGCCACATTAAGTTATTGGAATAAACTTACTTTGAAGGTGATTTGATGGACACATTATGCCCATTTAGCGAAACAACAGCTGTAGCTTCCTTGATAGGGCCTATAGTTCCACAGTCACTATTTTAGCCAGGTTTATAGTACTATATGTGAATTCCTTCTTGTGAACCAAGAAAGATGTCAGTTGCATCTCTAACAAACCTGCTACTGTTGCACCAGTACGTACATCTTGTAAGACATGTCTGTAGTATAGCATGTGAGGTTCACAGCTGAGTAATACTTAATGACAACAGGCACCAATGTATCTCACCCTCTGACACTGTGAAGGTTAGCCAGCAGGGAGAAAGCTACTGTCTAGTTCTAGTGTGGCATGTCCTGTGACCAGGCTTGTGGGATCTTTAGCAACAGGGTATTACTTTTTTGTTTTTTAGAGACAGGATCTTGCTGTATAGCCCTGGCTAGCCTAGAACTCCTGTCTCAGACTCTCAAGGGCTGGGATTTCCGGTACTACCAACACCAGCTCGTGAAATGTAAATGAAGAGTTGATGGGGTGTGGAAAAATGGAGTCCATTGTTGATAGTGATGGGGTTCAAGCTGGTTTAATATCTTGGGAAACAACTTGGACATATCTGATGCACCCTCCACCCCCCAAAAGTGTGTACAGTGTGCAACAGAATGCATAGTTAATTATACCATGGTACAACTATAAAGTGAAAAACAACACAATCCAAAAAGATGCCGCATCTGGATGTCTTGACATTGGACTTCATAGTACTACGTAAAACTGCCCAACAGGTATAGTTTTGTTTCAGATGTCTATGATCTGTTTCTAACGTATATCAAAGAGTCAGAGTACTGTTTGGAAGCAGCACATGACAATTCCAGAACTCAGGAGGCAGAGACGGGGGACCTCCCAGTTCATAGGCCAACCTGGTCAATTGGAGTGAGTTCCAGGACATCCAGAGCTACACAGAGAACCCTGTCTCAAAAAACAAACAAAAACAAAAAGGAAAGAAAAAATATCAAATGGGATGTCATCATTCATGTATCCTTGTTATTTGTGGGTTTGTTTTGTTGTTTGAAGTTCTGTTCTGTTTTGTTTTGGGGGGGTTGGATGGGGGTTTTTGTTTGCCATAGGGTCTTATTAAGTAGCCCTGGATGTCCTGGAACTCATTATGTAGAACAGGATAGCCTTGAACTAAGAGATCCACTTACCTCTGCCTCATGAGTGCTGAGATTAAAGGAGTTGGTTGCTATACCAGGTATCTCGTTTTTGTTTTGTTTTGTTTTCCTCTTTCTAGTCATGGTTGTCAGTCTTGGTGACATCTGGATGTATTGTATGTGAGTTTGGAGTTTTTAAAAATACCAAGAATCTGGTATTATCATCTTGAAGCAAATTTTTGTTTACGTACTTCTTTTTGTGCTTCTGGGAATTGAAGCTAGGGACTCACATATGCTAGGCAAGTGCTCTACCACTTAGCAATATTCCCCAACCCAAGTTTATTTTTATTTTACAAGTATTTTTTAAATCCCCTGTCTCTGTATCTGTCTGTCTGCTTATCTGTCTACTTGTCTGTGCTGAGAATCTAACCCAGGACCTCAGACATGCTAAGCAAGAACTCTACCACTGAGTTATATCCCCCACTTGAGAAAAACTAGCTACAAATTGACTACATCTCACAAGAGCTGGGATAGTAGGCCTGTGCCACACAGTCTGACTTCAAATCCCTCATACAAAGGCACTAATTCTACCTACAAAGCTGCAGCGCACTTACTTTCTAAATACCCCACCTCTCAATACTATTGCTGGGCGATGGACTCCAGCATGAGTTTAGGGTGATGCCCATATTCACACCCTAGCACAGCATCTTCACACGGTACTGACTTGTGGTAATATGTTATTTATGATTTATTAAAACTGGCCTGAGGGTTCAGAATGCAAAGCTAGCCACAAGCCAAAGAGCCAGGCAATGGTGAAACACACTGTTAATCCCAGCAGCCATACTAGATAATCATAGGGCCAGGCTACACCTTTAATCCCAGGACTCAGGAGACAGGCAGATGGGTCTCTGTTAGTTCAAGGCCACACTGAGCTACATGAATTTGATCCAGTCTAAAAGAGAAACAGCTCACACAAAGGCAATCTCACCATCTGGGATCACACGCCTTTAACACCAGCACTTGTGGTATATAAAATAGGAGCAGATATTCAGTCTGGGGCATTTTGGTCTCTAGCAATTAGTTTCTAGCCATGTTGAAGGCAGGATTGTTTCAACCTGTGTGGAACTACTGACTTGGCTGCTTTGCTTATCTGACCATCAGCTTGAACCCCATCTGTTTTTATTACTTGTGTTACACTGACTTTTTTTTAGTTATTTTTATTTCATATGTATTGGTATTTTTGCCTGCATTTATGTTCATATGAGGGTGTTGGATATCCTGGAACTAGAGTTAAAGACAGTTGTGAGATGGCTTTGTGGGTGCTGGGAATTGAACCCAAGATCTCTGGAAGAGCAGCCAGTGCTCTTAACCTCTGGAAGAGCAGCCAGTGCTCTTAACCGCTGAGCCATCTCCCCAGCCTGGAATGACTAGCACTTTAAAAGGAAGACTACTGCTCAGGATGGGATAAACTGAAACTCTTCTCTCTTCTTCCCTCCAGGTGGAAAAACTTGAGATTTCAGCATCATTCCATAGTGGCTAAGGCTATGAAATGGGCGAGGAAGGAGAAGGTGACCTCATAGCAGTCTAGAAGCTGCCTCAAAGTTATGTAGGTAAGAATGCAGATCTGCTCAAATGAGATACAGCAGCAGTGGGGTGGGATGAAGTGGCAAGAGGGTGCTTGACACGTAAGTCAAACTTTAAAGTTGTTCTGTGCATTTGGTTTAAAGAAGTGTTAGAGAAGCTGGGCATTGGTGGCGCACACCTTTAATCTCAGACCTCGGCAGGCAGATCTCTGTGAGTTCAAGGCCAGCCTGGTCTACAGAGTGAGTTCCAGGACAGCCTCCAAAGCAATACAGAGAAACCCCATTTTGAAAAAACAAAACAAAACAAAACAAAAACCCAAAACAAACGAACAAAAATAAACCAAATCAAACAAAACAAAACAGAAAAACAAAAAAAAAAGTGTTAGAGTTGGGGACAGAGAGCTGGGGTACTGCACTGGCCTACCATACACAAGACTCTGGCTTTGTTCTGAAACAAGAGAAAAACAGGAGGAGCCAAAGCAAAACTTCTGCCCACTAACCATCCTCTCTCCTGGCTACTCATTAGGCCACACTCTTCTACCCTCTGCAGGCTTTCAAAATGGCCCCTTGGAGAAAATCTCCAGGCTCCACGAAGGCAGATGTCTGTGAAACTTCCAAAACACCAGAAGGGTAGAGGGTAGAGGAGGGGCAGGGATATAGCTCAGAAGTAGAATGTGGCCTGGCATGTCCAAAGCCCTGGATCAGGCGCCCTGGAAAACATACACATGTGCACACACACACACACACACACACACACACACACACACACACACACAACATTTGGAGACACTGAATGGACTTAAAGGGAGAGACACCATGGGAGATCAAAGCAGGAAAAAGACCAAAATTCACTGCTGTGTTCCTGCACTGACCACCTCGGCCAAAGAGCGAGGGATGGGTGGGTGGCAGACACCCCTCACCAGGCAGTATTTACACACTATATTCAAATAGCAGAAATTCAGACATCTGATGCATCATTAGACTGGGTAGGGGAAAGTGAAAACCCTCTGATGTGTTTCTTGCCTCCACCCATCCCTTCCACAAAGTTGAGCTTCAAAGTGAATTTTATTTTAACAACATGCTTGGATTTAGAGGAGGAGAACCAATCCAACTCCAAAGTCAGGGTTGGTTTAAATGAATTGGGACCAAAAGAGTATTAGGAAGTAAAAGGAAACAGATATTATAAGGATGAGATTAAGAGAATTAGGCATTGATACCAAACATTAGATCCTTCTTTGTTTGATGGTCTTTGAGTAGTCATTCTCTCTTCTTTTTATTTATTTATTTTTGGTTTTTCGAGACAGGGTTTCTCTGTGGCTTTGGAGGCTGTCCTGGAACTAGCTCTTATAGACCAGGCTGGTCTCGAACTCACAAAGATCCGCCTGTCTCTGCCTCCCGAGTGCTGGGATTAAAGGCGTGCGCCACCAACGCCTGGCCATTCTCTCTTCTTTAGGTATCCATATGTTCAGTATTTTCTCGCTGTTTAGATGCGACCCCCGGGAAGGGACCCCCGACCCGTGGGGATGAGGTGATGAGGGTCGCTACTAATTTGGTGGGCCTTCACGAGCAGATCCGATCTGAAAAGTAATCTTCAAGAAGTTAAAGGAAACAGGCTCAAGACAACATTCGCTGATCAAGAGCCTTTATTTTTTGGGGCGCACTGGAACTTATAGAGGAAGAACCTCAGGGGGTGGTACAAGCATGTCAATCAAGTCTCAACTCAAATATACACCAAATACGGTAAAGACAAAGCTGTAATTTTCCATCAGTCATTAGTTACATTCCACAAATGCTTGTCAGCGTAAGTCAGGTGCAGGAATTAGGGAGGGGTAGGAAGTATTCAACGGAACACTTTAATCTTTTGTTAACAAAGAGAATTACTCTGTAAGAGTTACTTCCTTCCCTCTGGCTAGGCGGGTGGGCTGCCCTGTGTAAATTTAACTTTTATGGTTAGCCTTTTCCTTTGTCTCAAGGGCATGTGTGCTTGCAGTCACGTAGTCAGAAGGCCAAGAAACGGTTGATAGACTCCATTTTGTTCAAGGTTCTAGCAGTCCCCAACAGTTTAGAGATAGGTTTTGCTGTGAAGACAAAAACAAAACACTTCCCTTTTCTTTTATGAGGTCTCCATATACCTCATAGAATATGACTTTGTGGATGATCTGCCATCTTTCCTTCTCCTGAGGTCTCTCCTGTTCAGATCGAATCTTGATCAATTTTGATGAAATCCAAAGATTTTCTTCTCCTTCAGAAACAAAGGTGAAACCCTTCCCCAAGATAACACATATCCTGGTTTCCAAACTAAGGTCATAATATCCTTGAAATCCTTGATTTAGTTCAGAAGTTTTTTCTGTAGTCCAGTGTCTTTCCACAGCTGTTTGTCCTTTCTCATTAGCATTAAGAAAATTTAATGTTAATAAAGCATTATGTAATCTGTGTTTGGGGGTCTTTGTTCCCCCTGGCTGTTTATGAAGCATCTCTTTTAAGATTCGGTTAGATCTCTCAGCCACTGCTTGTCCTGTAGAATTGTAAGGTATACCAATTACATGTTTTATGTTATAATATTTGAAAAACTGTTCCAATTTCCTGGAGATATATGCTGGAGCATTGTCAGTTTTTATTTGTTCAGGTATACCCATAACAGCCATCACCTCTAAGAGGTGTGTGATAACAGAATCAGCCTTTTCAGAGCTAAGAGCAGTAGCCCATTGGAAGCCTGAAAACATGTCTATGGTATGGTGTACATATTTCAAACTTCTAAATTCTGGAAAGTGAAATACATCCATTTACCAAATTTCATTTCTGTGAATATCCTTGGGATTACTGCCTGCTAGTAATGGAGTTTGATTATAGAATGAACAGGTGGGGCAGTTTCTTACTATTATCTTGGCTTGTTGCCAAGTGATAGAAAAAAATCCTTCTTCAAGCCTTTGCTATTAATGTGGTGTTTCTTATGAAATTCTGAAGCTTCTAATATACTTCCTATAAATACAAGATCAATCTCATCATTGCCTTGTGCTAGAGGACCTGGCAGACCCATATGGGATCTGATATTTGTTATATATATAGGATGTGTTCTATTTCTGATGACTTCCTGTAATTGTAGAAGCAATGAGGTTAATTCTGCAGTCTCACTGAGCAAGATGACTCTCTCTGCATACTGAGAATCTGTAACTATATTGAGAGGCTCTGTAAAGTCTCTAAGTACCATGAAAATGGCATACAGCTCTGCCTTTTGTACAGAGTTGTAACGGCTTTGAACTACTTTTTTTTTTTTGGTTTTACAAGACAGGGTTTCTCTGCATTGTTTTGGAGGCTGTCGGTCCAGCTTGGCCTCGAACTCACAGAGATTCCCTGCCTCTGCCTCCCGAGTGCTGGGATTAAAGGCATGCGCCACCACTGCCTGGCAAACTACTTTTTTTTTTAAATTCTGTTTAATGTGGTAGAAATACCCATTCTAGTATGACATCTTCCCTCTGCATTGAAATTCCTGAGGGGTATTCTCTAGATGGCAAAATAACCAGAATGAAGTCCAGTTTTGGATCCACACGGTCTACATGTGCTCCCAATATTTCTACCCATTCTAATTCTTTTTCAGCCTCAGCTGATAATATTTGTGGACTATTTAAGTCCTTGTCTCAGTTTAGGGCCATTTTCAGGTGTTTTAAATCATGCCCTTCTACTCCAATAATTGTCTGTAGGTGAGAAATTTCTCCTAGTGATTTTTGAATTGTGGTCTAATTTTCTGTAGATCTATTTTATAACATAAATAGTTGATAGAATCTCCTCTTTGTATTTTTTTCTGGGGCAATCTGTCATCCCCAGCAAGGTAAAATTTCCTTTACTGCCTCAAACATCTTTTCCAGTATTCCTTCCTTCAAATCAGCCAGCAGTATGTCATCCATATAATGATAAATTATGGATCATGGAAATTGTGAATTATTTCTAAAGGATTCTGCACAAAAGACTGTCATAAAGTAGGACTATTTAACATTCCCTGGGGCAAAACCTTCCATTGGAATCTTCATACTGGTTGAGAATTGTTATAGGTAAGCACTGTGAAGACAAATGTTTCCCTATCCTTTTCTTGTAAAGGTATAGTGAAGAAGCAGTCTTTTAGGTCAATTACTATAATTGGCCATCCTTTAGGTATTAGAGAAGACAATGGCATGCCACGCTGTAGAGAGCCCATAGGCTGAATAACTTTATTGATAGCTCTCAGATCAGTGAGAATTCTCCATTTACCAGACTTCTTTATGATAGCAAATATAGAATTCCATGGACTGGTAGAGTCTTCAATATGTCCAGCATTTAGCTGTTCCTGAACCAGGAACATAGGCCATTGCACTACCCAGATAGGTTCATCTGTCAGCCATTTTAAGGGTCGTGCTTTTGGTTCCTCTGTAGGTGTGGCACTAGCATCCTGTTACTGTACAGCCTGTATGTTTGGCATCTGTTTTCTGTAGTGCCTTACAATATTTTTTCAACCACTAAGAGCTTGTTTATGATTCATATCCGATACAGGAGGAATGTTAATCTGGGTATTCCATTGTTGTAATAGATCACAACCCCAGAGGTTTACAGCAATGTCTGTGACATATGGCCTTATCTTCCTCTTTGTCCTTCTAGCCCTATACAGTCAACCCATCCTGTTGTTTTACTTGAGATATGGTTCCAGTCCCTAAGAATTGAATGTTTACTTCTTGTAGGGGCCATCTGGAAGGCCAACACTTTTCAGTTATGATGGTGATGTCAGGTTTAGTGTCTAAAATTCCAATAATCACCTTATTATTCATTTTACCTGGTACCTTAGGTCTGTGATCCTTTATAGAAGTTTGCCAAAATATACGTTTTTCATTTCTTCCAGTTATGATTGGTTCATCCTCAGTAGCTAATGTATCATCCAGAGTCTGTCCTCCACCGCTACTGGGAATGACCAGACCACTTTGACATGGGGGCCTTTGAGAAGACCCTCAAGGAGTTTCCCAGTTGTAAAGGGTTAGCTTGTTTGTCTGTGGTCAACCA